ATTAATAGTTTCTTCAGAATTCTGTAGGCAGTGTCAGGTTAACATCATGCGAGGACTGCCAAAACCACTTGCCGCGGTTTTTTGATCAGAAGCCCCAAAATTTCTATAGCAATGGGATCATGTCTATACCTACAAAATGGTAAAAACTTATCGAAAAAATGGTACAATATATTTTGAATTTTCGTATAAAATACGAAGAAATATTTCCCCAACCTATTACAAAGATTAACCTATTATAAAGAAACAGGAATAAAAATCAGCATATTTTAATGGAAAGTAACTTCATAATATAATGATGTCATTTTCAGGGTTGTGTTGCCATAGAGCAAAACGAAAAAGAAGGAACCGCATTACTAAACTCCGCTGTTCATCCGTCTATCTGTCACTAGGCTAAAACCAAAATAAAATAAATATTTCTGAGAGGCTCCCGTACAAATAAACGTGATTTTTTTCACTCGTTCTTGCTCGGTATTGATCACGACCTTGAACTGATCGACTTTCTTTTATGATGGTACAGAACCCTTCGTGCGCGAGTCCGACTCACACTTGGCATGTTATTCAATATTTCCTCGCATCAATTAGTGTACTCAAATTAGTAAATGATCCGGATCATCGTCATCATTATCAAGTATATTGATGTTCCTAGTACAATAGGGATACAGACCTACCCTGTGTGTGGAATTAAATAATTGTAATTGTTGACTATTATTGATTGCGCATGCTGCTTGGCGCTGCTTGGCGTTAACGTGCTTTTAAAAAGCACCGAGAAATTCAAGACAATGCATTTTAGTCGGGGACGGGACGGATGTCCTGTGAATTTAATCGCGCATCATTGCAAACCAAGGCACTGCACTACCCACTGCATTATAAAGCTCCTCAATCAACCAGTTGAAAAATTGTATCATTGTATCTGTGTATCTGTGTCAAGTCCAGAAAAAATGTCAATGCCAATTTATATCTAACTCAAAACAATAGACGTACATGCGCTTACATTATGTTAAGATGCCAGTGGCGTGAAACGGTCCTGGCGGCTCTGCCCGAAAATTTACGTAAATTAAATTTTAAGTAGAAATTATGGTCCTGTTAACGATATTTAGCGGTCTTGGCCTCTACCGCCTGCCGTATTTGAACCGCGGTCAGCCAGTTATGGACCTCTCGATGGGTGTACATAGGAAAAGAGCTTTATATATATTTTTTTATAAAATTAGCAGTAACGCCAAAGAATACATTATCAGTCACTAATGGTGGTCAAATATTAACAATATATGTTTGTCACTAACCGTTTTTTCTTCTGATCAACATATTTATCAAAGCCCATAGAGGCGGACGAAGCAAATTTTAAAAGTTTCAAGAATTAGTTCCTTTGTGGCTATATAATATTTTTTATACCATAAATGCCTAGCATGTCCATTTGGACACGTACTTTTTTTATTCAAAACAAACATTTCCCACACTAAAAATCTATTTTTCTTAATTAATTGACCTAATTTTACGTTGCTTATACAAAAATATTAAATAATTGAAAATAGAAAATTCGAATAATTCCAGCATTACTGGGTTATTATTGTAATAGAATTAAATCTATTCATCTATTCAAATCGCTTTGTTGTAAACCGTTATAGTACAACCAGTCACCATGGTTAATTTTATTGTTATAGAAAATAATGTTACTTGGGGTACGATGGTTCATTATGTTTGTATTCAAAAAATCTTAAAATTCCTTTCTTTCACCTCCTTTCTCATAAATAGATCTCCTGATTTTGTTTATATAGTTTTTTTTTCAAACATTAATCTCATTGGTTTTTGCGAATATAACAGTACTTATATATTTATCACTCTCATTCAGTTAGATCAACTTTGATGACACTAACCTTATCAAATAATTAAAAGCCGTTAAGAAGTGGCTTGAAATCGATCGAATTGGCTCGCAGCCGTTAATGAAGATTTAATGATCACCTCCATCAAGTAATCAACATCGGAATTTTCTTTGAAGATTAAGGTGGACTTACCTTAAAGACTGGGTAGGTATGTGATTTAATTTTGCCATGTCAATATATGCTCAGATTTGGGTATCATTCGGCCGGTTTCTGAATTGAGAAAAGTACAAAATCTCAACTGATTATTGTCAGTAACTTAAGTTTTTCATGTTTTACGTTGCCTTAGTTTAGTCTTAGTTTGTAAGAATGTTCATCTGTTCCCTTATAGCTTAGAAATTACTCATCGTAACTGGACAAATGAGGTATCATTAGAAGCGTCTTAGTTTATACTAAGATATACGGGCTACGTTATATTAAATTGGCAACAGTGCCCTCTAGAGAGCATAAACAAAGAAAATAAAAACATTATACGATATTATTTTACATTAGATATCAACCATTCCGTGTAGAGTATCAAATGAAAGATCTTAATTTGCTTGCGATTTTGCTCAAATATACCCTGTTGTTTTTGAACTTATTTTTTTTATCACACTGCTGTCAATTGATCATAAAAAAAAATAACATACAAAAACTGTTTAAGCGACGTTTAATATAATTTAAGTACGGTTTGAGACGTGTTCTTTAGTAAAAAATATCTTAACTTGTTATTTCAATAAAAGTTTTGCTCTAAAGATAGACGTCCTATAAAGTATAAAAATATTATTATATTTCTATATTCTTCCTAGAAACGACAACCAAGTGAAATAACATTCTTAATAAAATTGAATACCAGTGGAAACATCTTGATATACAATATTGAATTACAAATAATAACTTGAAATGGAACAATCAAGTGCTAAGCAAACGGATCGATATAACCTTATTGATATTAAAATATAAAACAGAGGTTCAATTACAATAGTGACGACTTATATTTATTAATGTATATATTTATTTTCACCGTCGCCTTGCATTAGTGATAAAAAATAAGAAGGAATTGTACAGGTTCAATGTGGATTTGTTATTTAAGTAAAAAATATCAACTCCCAATTCGTATATAAATAAATATATAACAACACCACATACTACCTGCATTGCTCAGATTCTAAGATGAGTAGCTAAAGCCCCCGTATTATGGAGTATATGAAACAACGGAGGTACCACAACACCCAGACCCGAGACAATATAGAAAACTTCATTAAGAACCTCAGAGATGGCGACACCTTGAAACCGTCGAGCGAACCATTCGGTTATGGAGGTCTACTTAAAAGCCTTTTTCGATAAAAAAATCATTGTAGAATGAATACAAATATTATTTTTGTCGTCGTTACCAGATGTATATCTATATGTCAGTATTTTGAAATGGTCTTTGCTGCCCAACTCGACTCGGAGAACATAATTATCAAATTAACTTTTGACTCCAGATTATGCCAAGAAAACTATGCCTCACGTTTAAAAACAAAATAAATTTCTAAACTGCCTGTAACGGTTACAGAAAATAGTAAATTATTCTACAGCTTTCTGGATTTAGATAATAAAGACAAGATATTGTTAATTAAAATTACTAACTCAATATAAGGCTAATATTCATTAATACCTAAGAGCGATATCTTATTATGATACCAGCAATGACAGCGACTTCGGCAGCGTCGCCAATCATACCATGTCATTACAACTTGCTTTAGGTCTCCCGCCATAGACCTTCGACCCGATGGCACAAATTTTCGACTTTCATTAGTCCTTGTAACAGCCTAGACTGAATAAATGAATTTGATTTAATTGGTTAGTTCGTTGACTTTGTATTTTCGTTGATCTTGTATAAAAATAAATTAACGAGACACTATACAGTTTTAGAATATTTTTCCGTAAATTCGATCACTACTTTCCAACTCTTTATTTGACAATTGAATTCGAGTTTCGAGCATCGAGATGACTATCGAGTTTCCATTAAGAATACCAATCTCTATGCACGTAATGTCAAAATCTCACTTATCTTAGTTCAATTTACTTCGCGTTAGACTATAAGGCACTAGCGGCATTTTTGAGTTACACAGAATACGAAATTTGAATCTCAGCTTCTGATGTTCGAAATGCGTTAACATTATCGCACGACAGGCCACAAGCTGCGATGGCAATCGTCATAATAATGTCGTATGGCATTCCCTAGAGTTGGCGTTCCACGGACGCGTTGTTTCCATGACACCCAAAAGAGATTTAGCTCTAATCGAAAACAATGTCTTTTAGGTAGGTCGGGCCTCTCAAGTCACGTAGTATCATCAATCTTCAAATTCATGAAGCTTAATTTTATCTGTTTTACGTGAATTATACACATAAAATAACCATGGCAATTGTAATATATTCATAGTGATAAATATTAAAGAAACAATATGCTAATGTATATCTAATAAAGAAAGAAACCATATACACACAGTACTTGTACAATAATGAAAGTTGTTTGAGGAATTGATTTTTATATTTGTGACAGCCTAGCAACTGTGAGGGTTTAACCTGAAATAATACCACGTGCCTACCCACACACGGACAGCTCTTTTTTTGAATCATTCATCTTGCGTCGAACGCTCATTTGCTACTGATTGTCGAGGCAATTGATTGAATAAACTTTAATAAAATAAGGCTATGCGTGAACTGATTTTTTTTTACCATCTGACATATTGTTTCTGTCACCGTTCTTATGTCATTTGTATGGAAATCACCTACTTGTGGTTGCGCCACCCTAAGGATTTTCGACAAAGTGGTTAGTAAATGCTCCTTACAGCGTTTATACGTAATTGCCTTTATTATTGTATGATCTTATTGATCACATACTACCAGAAGGTGTTGTCAGAACCCATTAAAAACGACGAGCATGTATGAAAAGAACTATGAAAGTCAAGGGATCGAAAGACGTGTGTAGTAAAAAAAGCGGAGCAGTGCTTGCGGAGCGTTGTTCTGTCCGCCCCCCGCACAGTATGAGTTTGGCGTGAAGATATAGTAGTAGTTTATAACACTAAGACACAGACATCACATCAAAGGATTGTGTGGTGGCAAAAGAAATAGCGAAACTAGTCATCGTTCTTTACTTACTTGTTGTGCATCCCTCTGTCCAAAATGACCAATGTAATTAGGGAATACAGTGAAGTTGTAAGAGATCCGATGCTGCTGGCAGAAGTTGACGATAACGGGCAGGCAGACCCCGGGGGCGGGGTTCCGTGCCCCAGGGGGCTCTGTTGGGGCCGGTGATGTGTCCACGTCCACCGTCGATCGGTTCGCTACTAGCGACACATACTGTTGGACAATTTAAAAAAAAAAAATAAAAACGTTTCTTCTGACTTTAAGAAAATGCAATTTATATATTTAATGTCGAATCCCTAGAAGTTTGTACCGCCTTAAGATTAATAAGTCACACATTAGGTGTCTTAATTTGTTTGATATAACATTATTACGTTTGAAAGACTCCTTACTATTTATAGATAACTAACAAATTACACTGCCTAACAAATTACAAAAAATACATTAAACAGGTACGTTGTATATTACAGTATATTTAATAATCTGGTATGAAACTATGATAACCCGTAATTGTATTTCGCACTTTACTAAATATCCTCTTATTATGTTCAGCTTAAAATTTTACAGATACTTAAAATGACAATGACATTTCGCATAATTTCGAGCTTAATAACGCGAAGTTAGAAAATACCACAAAAATAAAGGAAGCTTATTTAAACGTAAGCCAAATATTTTAGAAAAAAGAGGCATTCCTATTTTAATTACTCGCATATCTAACAAAACATGCGCCCCGAGAAAGTAATCTAGAGGCTAAAGAATGTCGGGTCACTGTACAATCAACGGCACATCAGGTAACACAAAAATGTTAAATTTCCCTAGTTTGTTTAAAATCTTTAACTATACTCATTACTTAATCATTTACGCGGAAGTTTGAACGCCATTTTGTGCGCATAAGCTGAAAGATGGGATTCAGCTTATGACACGGCAGGACCGTGTAGTCTCTACATTTGTAATATAAATAAATAATAAATTAAAAAATGCCTAATACTAACATCATTTAAGACTATACTAACAATATATACGAGGGTCAAACTGAAAGTTCTTAGAACTGGCCACTTATAAACAATATAATAAAAAAATAATTCTAAAATTTGAAAATATAACTCTTTGCCAATATTACTGAGTATATATTTCATTCATTTGTCATTTGTTTTACGATTTGGCGGCAAATTGAAAATTGTCTGTGTCACGTCATCATGAATTTAACACGAGAAAATTTTCGTGCAATGATTTTTTATGACTTTCGATGTCATTTAAGTCAACAAGAAAGTTATGATAGACTACGATTGGCCTTTCACGATGAAGCCCCATCTCGTGCGACTGTTTACAACTGGTTTACTGAGTTTAAACGTGGTCGCACTAATCTCACTGATGATTTACGTGAGGGACGGCCTTCTACGGCGACGACTGAAGATAACATCTGTGTTGTGCGGCGTATGATAGAGACTGACAAAAGAGTGACCTATCAACAGATTCGGACAAGCTTAGGCATCGGTATGAGTCAAGTGCACAAAATCCTCCACGAACATTTAGCGGTCAGGAAGCTTTGCGCCCGGTGGATACCTCATAATTTGACTGAGGCTCAAAAACTCCATCGTGTGGATTGGTGTCGTAAAATGATTGAAAGATTTAACGGAGGTGACTCAAATGCTGTGTTCGACATACTAACAGGTGACGAAAGCTGGATTTACTGTTATGATCCTAAAACCAAAAGACAATCTGCTCAGTGGGTGTTTCCTTTCGAGGAGTTGCCAACTAAAGTGAAGAGAGATCGAAGTGCGGGAAAAAAAATGGTGGCCTCGTTCTTTGGAAGGATAGGTCATTTTGCAACAATTGTGTTAGAGGATCAAAAAACAGTTTCTGCAGAATGGTACACTACCAATTGTTTGCCACTTGTCTTGGAAAAAGTTCGAGAGAAACGACCTCGCAGTAGGATCCTCCTTCACCACGACAACGCCTCGTCGCACACCGCCAAGCGAACGATCGACTATTTGGCGACATCAAACGTTGAATTACTGGGTCACCTGCCGTATAGCCCCGACCTCGCGCCTTGTGATTTTTATTTATTTCCAAAAATTAAAGAAAAACTTAAAGGAAAGCGGTTTATGAATGCTGAAGAAGCGGTGGCTGCGTATCGCGATGCCATTGAAGAGACCCCTAAGGACGAGTGGGCAAAATGCTTTTCCCAGTGGTTCCATCGCATGCAGCGGTGTATTGACGTGAATGGACAATATTTTGAAAAGATATAATAAAACTAATAACTGGCTAATGTAATCAGTTTTTGATTTTCTAAGAACTTTCAGTTTGACCCTCGTATTATGAAAATAATTTTGGAGGATAATTGACATATTGGTAGACACCTGATGTTGCGTGGTGTGTACTAATAAGTTAATTTTGCAGGCTCTCCGACACCTGAGAGTGGTATTTGTTTGCAGGCTTCAAACTTCCAGTGTTTGTCTTATTAACTAAAGTATGCGGTTCTAAAGCAGACAGGTCTTAAGACATATTGAATGTCTGATAAAACTTTATCTGTTATTGTAATTAATTATTAAAAACAAAACAGCTGATTTCTATGCATTTACGTTTTGGCTGTTACAGAACCCAGAAATATGATCTTTTTCCTCAATTTTAATAAAGTTATTTTTTAGTACAATAAAAGGAAATATTGCATATTTATATAAATGCAGTTTAATGTGTAATTTTATGTTACGCAAACAATTTCTATCTACGCGGGATTATTCTAGTACCAGAGACCAACATTTTATAAGCACTTTAAAATAAAGTACTTATCAACTATAAGCCCGACGGAAGCCGCACAACGTCAGTCCCTTGCCAGTCGTACCACAACAACGATTGTTGTGCACGGCGTTATTCTGAGAATTAAAAAGAACCTTTGTAGCTATTTTTGGGGATGAAGCCCCACAGTTCAGCTGGAACTTTTGGCAGTCATTGTTGAGGCTTTTTTCTCTTTGTGTTCTTTGCTCGGAAAACGTCAACTTTTTTGTTCTTGGTTTGAGTTTGCTGTATTAATATTATTCATAATTATTTTAGAGTTTGCTTGGAAAATGCTTATTTTAAGGAAGTACTCAATTAGAAAATCCTAAGACATTATTATTTTAAAGAAACATGGTGTATTTTAGTGTGATATATTTTATAACTTTTAAAATTGTCATTAAAAGCAATATTTTTTTATTATAATAGAAACGACAACGATAATTTTGTTAGAAAAAAAAAACAGATTTCACCTATAAGGACATATATTAAAGTAAACGCAGTCTGCCTTAGAAAGCAGGCAGAAAGTACCAATGTAGTTCGAAAATCGACAATGGAAAACTCCGAGCATAACACTCCGACAACGATAAACGTGTTAAATTTTTTCGATTAGGGATTGTTTGGATTACTTTGCTAATCACTTCACAATTTTTCTATTAATATAACCTATATCCACATGGATCTAATCACCGTAGAGTACTTTTTCGGCTCAAATATTTCAAAAAAGGCCATATATGTTGTTGCAAATTATGCAATCTTTAATTCAATAATAATAGAAATACCTAAGTTTAAATAGATTTATTCAGATTTAAAGGTTATTGCCAGTTTTTGATCACTTTTCTACACAAAGAATTTACCAACCCCATCCCACATGTTTGTTAACTATTTAATACAAAAATAAAGAAAACACCGTTATTTTTTGTTTGAAAAATATACAATTTGGGATCGGCACTGTCGTGGATATTTTGCAAAATATAATTTTAATTTTGTGTTTTTTTTTGTGATTTTATGTAACCCCTTATTAGAAAATAGATTATTATACGTAACAAATTATAATTAAGAAAGCGATAGGAAGTGATCCATCACAGACTGTTGAGTTTGTGTAGACATTACACAGTAATAATTAATGAGAATACACAATTAACTGAATACCTACATAAATTACTAATTATAAAAGTTTTAATAATTATACATTAATTTTGATGAGCTAATTGCTTTTTTCTTTATCTATTTATAACATAATGGTCTTTTCTAAAGATATAATTATAAAGAATACCTTTTTCATTTTATCTTAATAAGTAAAAGTGTAATTAAATTTCGCAATTTTATGAATAGTTAAATTTTATGCGGGTCTGAGAATAAGTATAGTTCCCTTTGATGTTCCTTTTTACAGAAAGAATTAAAAGTACACACGATGAAACCGTTTGGAAGTCATTTTATTTACTGTTAATGAGTACATAGACGCTAAGTTACCTGCACTGAAACTGAAGACTTGGCTTGAAAGTACGCATACATCGCCCCGGTGATGACCAACAGCGCGACTGCGTTCCCCAGGACCTGGAGTATGCGCGACTTGTGCGAGGAGCTGCCAGCGCCCGCACTCCTCATGTCTCGTAACATCTGATCGACGATTGGTACGGTCAAGTAAATGAAACAAGATAATACATCATCATATGATTGAGAAGATTGTTGTCATTGTTATTGGAAAAGACTGTTCCTGTCTCTCTTACTTTGTATACTAATATTATAAAGTTTCACTAACTTTATTCATTTGTACCAGAAATACTGATCAGATCATGAAAAATCTTCCACCTTCAGATAGACGGATCAGCACTAGAAGCGCGTTCTTCGTTCTATTAAATTCTATATTTAGATGATGATGAGCAAATGTCTTTTTCTTTTTATTTATTATGTATGAATATTTAATATTTTTTTTCTGGTAAACTTGTATGATATAAACCAGTTCGTGTGTAATATAGTATTAACCGCGACTTTTGAAAATTTACAGTCAATATATTTTTTATGTATACATGTCTCTCATAGACCTTAAAAGAAAAAAAGTGGATTATTAGGATCATTCGTTGCCCGTCCGTCTGTTTGTCGAAACCCGCGTCCTAAGGAATGCGTGGAGACGTCATGTTGAAATATGGTTGAAATTAGTATCTAATATTAATGTCTCGGGTCCTTTAATAAAATAAGTAAAACAATACACTAAGTTAACAATAATTGATATATAACGGATATATGGGTATGGGATAATTTCAACTAATGTTTCATTTCATTTCAAGTTCTTGGAGTCAAAAATAATTATTCTATTGCTAATAAATCGAATAACCTAGACGATAGATTGGGGTAATGTTTCGACATTGCAGATTTCGGCCTACGCCTCAATTTTGCTGACGTTAAAATCTTGTTAATTAAAAAAAATTGTTCGTTTTGAATATGGTCTGAAACTACTACTACGGAAGTTACATAAACAAAATAACAACATTAGCGCCAATTAAATGTAACTTTTATTTCGGCACATTTTAACGTTATATATGGAATAACTTTATACGCCTATATACCATAACATAATATAATAACGACAACCCAATATTACATTTACTTTGGAGACAGTATTGTTTGAATCACAGTTTGAATAATCTTAGTTTCCAGGTAGATGACACAGTGGCAGAACCCGATCAGTTGAAAGACAATTTGAAATTCCATTAATTCATGTTCATATTAAGCAGAATCGCGGTCCAGGCGGTATTACTTGGTTTGCTCTGGCCGCATTGAATTCACGAACTACATTTTCACAGTTATTTAGGATTATTTAAGAGTAAATCGACATTATAAATGTTATTAACCTTGGTACTGCAAAGCATTCGGTTAATTTACTTCCCATAATATAATCATGAAGCTACTTTGTTGTCTTATTCCTAATAAATTTGGCTTATGTATAACTAACACTATTCGTCTTGTACATATTAAACCGCAAATATATTGCGAAGTGCAAAATTTAAGAGCGGTTGGACGGGTTCGACAGTATTTTTATTTAAAGAATTGTTTGAAATCCAAGGAGGGCTCTTATGAAAACAAAAAATTGTAAGATAATTAGTAAAAACAAAATTTTTCTTGACCCAGAGTTTTGAAAGTGATCGTAGACTGTATAATCTAAATATAACGAGCTGTCGACATCTGGCGTCTGGCCGCAGGACACCGCTGTTGTTCATAGTTTTGTGTTAAAAAGTAATGCGGTTTATTCGGTGATAACCTTCATCCAATGTGACAACGGTACAAGTGTCCCTATAATTCAAATAAGAAGATATTGTAATCAAAATTATAGACTTCTATTCATACTCATTCAAAGTTTAATGCATTCAGTAGCATTACCTTCTAACTATGTAGTTTAGTAGTATAGTTATAGCCCGGTTAGTGAGAGGTCGTGGATTTATTTCTCATGTTTTAACTAAATTGAAAACTAAAATATTTAACAAAACACGCAAAAATTTTATTTAAAAAACACAAACTACTTATAAATATTCATGTAAACTATAAATACAGAAATATTTTATGTATTTTTTGGAACATTTTTAAAACGTTTATTGTGAAAGCAGACATAAAAGTTGTTTCGGTAGTTCAGTTACTTCTAGAATTGCTAAAACACAACATCTTCCATTAATTTAAATCGAAAAATGGCGGCGACAATGTTCCGTTACAACTTGGTTATTTGAATTGTGTACCAACCAGCGGTTTGAGAGGAACGCTTCAACCCTGCTGCACTCGACGTTAAGTAAACGAACAATAATCACAGCTGCGACGCTCCCGCAGTATTATAACCCCGGGGCTCCGCCTCGTGTCTCGAGGAACACGTGTCTACTAGCAAATGCATTTATAGAAAACAACCACTTGATCTATTTCTTCAGTATTTTTCCTTATTACACGTATATAGAAGAACTTCTTTTAACATTTTGAAAGCAAAATTCAGCTTTATTTTTCTTTATTAAGCTCTATTTCAATAATTATACTCGTATTTCATATGCAAACATTTTCCTCTAATATATATTTGTAACTAACGGTGAATTCAATATTTTACTGGTCTGGTCGATTTTTTTTTGTAGTCTTTGCAGTGTAGGTATTTACTCTCTTGCTTTACATTCTCTCTCGCTTTTAAATCATCTCTCACAGAGTCTCTCCATTTGTGATTTCATTTTGTTTTCCATCCATACACTTTCAGCTCTTTCATTGATTTTAATAAGAAGGTGACCTTATTAAAATTAATTTAATTGTTGTAACATATTATGTTACATATAGTCCATTACTGTAACATTAATAGGAGATGTGGTGCAGAGTCTGCACTGTTGTTTGAATATTTTAGATAACTTATTCATGTACAATCTATACGTCAGACTATACATGTTTCACTTGATTTTAAAACTTATTATGATGAGGTTCAAGGGCAAAATCCATTGCAGAAATTTAACGTATTGTGGTAACATGCTTACAATATAACATATATATGTATATATACAAAAGCATATATGTCGATGCCCATCAAATCCCCTTTTTGTTTGAGTTGTCTGCGGTGTGTTCCTCAAGTTGCACTCTACGAGAACTGTACTACTGTATCTTGCAAAACTAAATTATTAGATTCTAACTAATATTACCGAGTAGCATGTATGATGAGTCGATATTCAAATTAATTTTACTAACAAACACAAACCGTTAAACCGATATATAGTCTATATACTTTGATTAACTGTTTGATGTAAATTAAAGAAGATGTTTTCAACTATTGATTCCTTGCAAAGTTTAAGTAAGTGTTGTAAGAATGTATTTATTTATTTATAGCCTCTTTATTCCGAACACTTTTTTAAATATACATCAACGAAAATTATGTATCTCAATTCGATGTGCCTTTTGTTATAAGTCTTTCTATAAATTACTCTCGGTCCATAGCTACATTTTTTCAGCATGAATCTGTTGTTTTCTTTATGTCATCTTCCCATCTCTTTACTTTGCCTCCACAACTCCTCTTTTCGTCTCTGGGGTACCAGAAAATGGCTTTTCCGCTCCAACTGTTTAACCCATTACATCAGCGATAAGCGATTTATGTGTTTGCAACTGTTATAATTCTGGATCATACTTTTCTACAGATAACACAAAATTTTCAAAAAAAGAATCCTTAATTCATTGAAGATAGAGATTAAAATCAATTGTGAAAATACATATCTTAGTAACCTGACATGTTGAGTTGTGTACTTAGTATAGAATATTCATACAATAAAACTCATTTATAACTAACATGTGGTCTTAATCAAATATTATTAGATCATCAACGGCCTGCCTAAGTAGAATTATACGAATACATAATGCCATCACATCATACATTACAATAATCATACCTACGATAAGTGTAAGAGTCGAAGCGGATGATATTATATTAACGTGACATCAAGGAGATATCAACTACTTCTGTGTAATCTGCCACAATACTCGTAGGTGGAGATGAAGAGATTACGATGTGACTTTATTATAAACATCAAGTTGGTTCTGTTAATACATATATCGCAAATAGTATCATTTCACAGTAATATGGAGTACCATGGGGCACGAGAATTTAGTAGTAACCCTCTTTTAACTTTATACAATAGTGAAGTGTCATCCGCAAACAAAACTATTTCGTGATTATCCCTTGCGAAATAAGGCAAGTCATTTGTGTAAATTAAAAACAAGAAAGAACCAAGTTTTGAGCCCTGCGGAATACCCATCTTAACTTTCGATCCAGCCATTGATATCAACCCTCTGCTGTCATTGTCTTATACTTGACTAACAAAGGTCAGTCAAGTATGAGACAGTAAAATCCAATGAGTTGTCTTGAAATCCATAAAAATGAAGTTTCCTAATCAATATTTCAAGAAAAACCCAATCAAATGCTATAGATAGATCACAGAAAATACCTAACGCATCATGTGAATCGTCCCAGACATTAAAAATTTCTTGCATTAACTCAACACCGGCTTCTGTCGTTGAGCGACCCCTTGTAAAACGTAGGTCTAAAGTTAGTTGGATCAGATGTGCTACCCGATTTATGTAAAGGAATAATTTTACTATATTTCATGAGCTCAGGAAAAATACCACAATCAGTGCATTCATTAAATAAATAAGTGAGGATTGGAGCTATTGTCTCAATTACAGATTTGGAATGGAATTACACCATAAATCAGCGGTTTTCTTTTTCTTTAGCTGAGTAAAAGATTTTATTATATCTTTAAAATCAATGCATTGAAACTTAAATTGGCTATTACAATTATTTAAATTTGCCTTTCAAATAGATTCAGCAACAATAAAAGAGGATAAAAGTCGTGAAAAGAAAGGTCGTGGGTTCAAATATCATTTCAGAGTACCAGGGACAACGTGGACTTTTATTTTTAATATTTTCCAGTATAGCATTTTGAATGCATAATTGATCAAATATAATTAAATCTAAAGAGTTTTATCACACTCAAAAACAATATAAAAGATTTTTCCATAGAAAAAAAAGAAAAAAAAAAAATTTTTATCACTTCCCAACAATCTCCAAATTCCTCCTGTTCGTGTCATTAAAAGACATAAAAAGTCTTAACGAAATCGAGTTGTCTAATTACTAGTTGCTTAGTACACTGAAACTTAATGGACCTAAAGCATTAATCGTATTTTTATCGCCAGTCACCAGACTATTTTACAATTACGACTAACTTAAACAAAACAAAGAACATTTGTAAAGTTGTTAACGTTTTACAGTCGACAAGAGCAGAATATAACTTGTTCCAAAGTAGGAGGATGAGTCGAAGGCGAAGAGGGAATCTAAATCTGGGAATCTTTTTAATTTCGGCTGACGAACGGATCGAAATATCGCTGATTAAATAAAGATTATTTTTTTCAATTCGAAATGCTTTAAGTACTTGTAGAAAAATATACACGTTTTTATACTATATCAATTTATTTGAAAAGTGGTATTGTTATTTAAGAAAAATACCTACAGTACAGACTCATTTCTCTCTATAACCAATTGCGGATTGTCGAATTTCTAAGCCTCTGATACTTTCGCTACTAATGACAAGGAGATAATTATATGTTCTTATATTTTTGTAATAAACGTGACTTAGTAATGAGATAGTTTAAGTAAATATCATTAAGATCTGATGAGTTTTTTGGTGCCCGTTCTTCTTGTTAAGGTAAAAAATTGTGTACGATTCAAAAGTGATTTCAATAAGCTTATTCGAATGAAAAATCTTTTCATTTTTATATCTACGAGTAATATCAGTGCCGTGTTATATAACAAACAATGGTACAAAACTTACAATACACGTGTAAAGCATAAATACGATAGGTGAGCTCAAGGTTTTACTGGGAAATCTTCAAAAATATAAACAACTTCTTTGAAATCTTCGAAATAAATCCGTGTTAGCGTGATTGGTAAATATGATCACAAATGATTAAATTTTATTGATTTTACCAAGAATAACAAGTGGTAGTCTGTTATATTCACCTTAGCTTTATTCTCCATGGGTTTGCCTGATATTTAAAGGATTTTTTTATGTTAATCTTAAATAATAATTGACACTAAATATAAAAAAAAATTGTAAATGCGATTGTCACAATGATCCCTTTCAAATTATACGTTACATCATATATTGCAGTTTCTAAATTATCCTAATATTATCGGAGCCAATTAGCTATGTCAAATTGACAGAAGTCCGTCTGTCACACACAGGTTACGTTTGTTCTCTTACAAAAGAGATACAAAACCATGAAAATAATAACATTATGCTATAAAAACTATGAATTGTTCCATGATCATCGGAATTCCACTCTCGGTACTTGTTTCCGAAGATGAAGATTCAGCTTATTATTTATAACATCGTTTCTTTTCACCGGAATTAAGTAAGCTATTGAGCCGCTCAATTTGCCTCCTAACAAATTTCCGATAGCCCTCCAATTAAATAGCGAACTTGAAGAGTTTTAAGGCCGGAATTTTCTCGAAAAATATCTTTATAACATAAACCGGCATATTTTCAAATCGATCTTATAGAAATACGTTAAGCCTGGGCACAGTGTAGTTTATGTTTGTGCCTGGGCTTAAAACCAAAGACTCATTTCTCCCGGCTCAATGAAATTCCATAAAATAACTCACTGGTAACTTTGTAACTACTTGCTTATTATTAATTCGCTTAGAACTAGACCCTAGTAAATTGTGTTAGCTTTTCATTAGTAAATTATACTTATTCAGAAATTATTACTTAGTACAAAAACTGAAAGATAGACAGATTTTTACACATTTTTTGTGGTCTTGCAACATAGAACAATAAGAAAAAATATAATTACGTTTTTATAGAATAAAATCCTGGGCCACTTATTTTCCAAGAAACGAGACTCTCGGAAACCTTGATATGTATTGAATAGTGTACATAGCCCAGTCAGGCGGACCGTTCACTGGAAACAGGTGGAGAGATAGTGAGAAACAAAACTTCCTTCTTTGAAACTCGCAGTATTTGATTTTATATAATCAATATTTATAATATTGCCAAACCTTTTTTGTGGTTGGCAACTTCTACGAGCCATTTCGAATATCACCGAATAATGACGAGACATTTATATTCGTAGTTTCTAATTTTAAATGTGAGGATTATGTACAATCTCCACCAACCTGCAGAACGGCGTATCTTTATCCATGAATATAGGTATAAATATTTTATTTAAAAAAAATCTCTAGTCACCCATTCTATGACCAGCTTATGCGAGGGTTGCTTGAACTATACTTTGAAAACAAAATTTAGAATCATCAATTGCTGACGTACTGATATGATGCATTCAAATAGTACAGATCGATGAAATAATTACATTGATTAACAACATTTTACTATAATGAATCCTCGTTTAAAAAAAAGACAATTTAAATCGAGTTCGAGTGAAGCGATATATGATGGAAATCAATTATTATAATCACGGTAAAAAATCTCCGCTGATATATTCGTATTTACCGAATCTCATTTAAATGATTATCCAAAAGCTCGTAAACGTAAAATTGAAATCTCGCAATAAAGCGCAATAAACACATTGGCATTTCACCAACTCATTATTATTCTATACTGAGATTAGTATTCGGTAAAGGCCTTCATTTCAGAACAAGCGTTTGATGGACTCATTAAACTCTCATCGTTAAATTGACGTCCCCACTCTGTTGGTCGAAAAAAAAAAGAGTGGAAATGACTGTAACCCATGGTATGAGTTCTATGTAGGAACAAACGACTTTAGAAGCAATCGGAACCAATATGTGCCTTCAAAAGCGTGAAGAAGCTCGATATAATAATACATTCCAATTATTGGTAATCCTTAATTACAAAAACGTATTTAATCTACGAATGCAGAGGATATTCACCCAATTAATGCACTTACCACTGCATCACCATACTCCTCCAAATCTCAATATCAACCATGGAGTAGCCATTAACACAGTAATTTACTTTCTATCAGACACGGAATTTCTTTAAAGTATTCTTAGCAACTGAAAGAAATTTAAGTATTGTTTAATATTATTGTTTAATATTGGTGTATACGAAAATGATAAAGAGTAGCGTTACATGCGAAATTTCGTTTTAATTTCGTTCGTAAACGAAATTTCGTTTTCGAGAAAGCGAGTAGGCCTCCAGTTATTAATAAAAATATAAGTTTCTTGTGTTGTGCTAAGAAATATAGTTGTGTATATTTCTTCCAGTCTTTGTGGAACATTCAGCTGATGCGAGTCTAAGAATTCACGAAGAAAATTTCTATTTTTATTTTTATATAAATCACAAATGAATTCAACGTTAATGTAAAAAAATTCTAAGCCCGAAATACATCGTCGTCCGATATAGATTGAATAAACCTGATTCCAGATAAACGCCCTAATAAAAACTGACTCAATTTCCATGGATGCTCAGTTTCATTTGCACGATTTATTTCATTACTTTCTGCAAACAGCAGCTATTAAATTTGCCTCCACTGGTGGCCTGCGTTAAGCGCACATGCATATTACGGGAAAATTTATTGCTACGGTGCACTAGCACTGTTTGCACACGTGGCCTCGTGTGGCACTAGGAATATAAATTTCTATTTTTCTATGATAACGTATTCGTAATTGAACATGAAACTATTTTCTTTGAATACCTCTATGGCCGAACTGAAGACAAAGTCTCGCCTTCACTGAGTTTCTGGATTAAATTCCAGTCGGTTAATTTTTAGGTAATTATTTTTCTAGATTGTCTCCGGTCTTGGTGTTGTGATACCTTCGTTGTTTTAGATACTTCATAATACGATAATGCGAGGGCGGGATTTGTTGCCGTTTGTACATGTGAATTTGTATGCGCGCGGTACACAGAATGGCTTTCAAATTCTGACTGGGTGAGGATGTTGGTAGATATCATAGTTTCACGGTTATGGCAATGGACTTCCATGGAATAACGTTTCTATTATATTCTGCACTCACCGCAATTTTTTTTTTTTTATTGTACTTTGATATTTGTAGAGAGGACTCATTAAATTCAACTACGAAGATCTACCGGATAGCTTAAGATCTGCCACCAGTCTTTCATCTGCTGGTTAGAACATTTGTGATTCGTGATTTGTTATGACAAAAAGACAGGACACCTCATTGGCAAAGTCACCCTACAGAATCGATTTGCCCCAGTATGGTGTCGGCCATATTTAATTTCGAACGTAAGCAGTGCCTCCAATTTCGCTTAATGAAACTACATGCATTGTTCCTCAGACATATCTCGATGTGGCCAAGTAACTCATTAACCAAATCAACAAATACGTGACTATCATTGATTTATCTTGTTTTATATTGGGTACATAACGAAATAGGCCAAATCACAAAACGGAAATTAATCGTGATATGTCTGGTGCACTAGTGAAACATTAAATCGTATTTCGGTCAAAAAAGCGTCGCTTCAATCATGGCATCGGCTCGAAGGGTATTCAAGTTCCGGCTTCCTAACAATAGAATTCTCCTCCAAATAGAAATCAGGAGGATTTTGTTGGAAGCACAATCTAGCAATATAACCCTGTATAGGATAATATTCAAACGAATTTGATATGTTCTCAGGTTTTTTCTTTTACCATACTAGAGCAAAATATTTAAACAAAATTAACGTTTATTAAGATGCAATAAAAACAGGCACACAATAGCTTTCATTGAGACGTCACTTTACTAATTGTAGAAAATCAATATTTATAATCTAGGAGAGTATGCCTGAGCTAGTTAAACCATATATATACCATACATATATATTTATAAAGTAACACAATAAATCTGCAGATGATTTGTGTACTCGGAATATACTAAACCTATACAAATTGATTATTCTTATTTCTACGCAATATATTGATTTACATTGCGGAATTTCGAATCGATTATTATTTTTATTTATATCAGTTGTTTTATTCTGTTCAGTTTTTATCACTTGGTTAATCTCACTTTACAACAATATTATAAATAAGTATGCCGATTTGATTCATCGACAATCGCTTTCACGCGACTGGAATGAAGATTTCGGTGTAATGTCCTATCATTATTGATAAGTACTTATTCATCATGATGATTGAACATAAAATTTTAAATGCTTTCAAATTGAGAACAGATTAGTGGAAATCATTAAAATGATATTGACCAGAAAATGTGACCACCTAAAATAAATATTTTAACTTTATTAAATCAGAAATAATTAAGTATTGTTTATGTACTTACCCGATGATGTAAAGACATGTTGCTCCCATTCTGAAATCTGACGATCGTCTGAAGCGAGGCTGGTGTCGACATGCTTTTCGTGATGGACGAATTTCCTGATTCCTTTTCTTGCTGCTCTTTCAAGAGTAATCCTCTCGCAATCTTTGCGTTCAAACTCTTGTTTACGTGTTGATGTGGCAACAGAGGTGCTTCCATCGTCTTCGTAGTGTATGAGGGTGAGGATGTCTGGCTAAAAGAATCTGATGATACGTTAGAGTCTTGCCGCACGCTAATATTTGATCCAGAGCTGGGTGAACGTTTCATAGTCTGGTTTTGAGGAGGCGTGTACGGTGTGTCAGGCATTTTTTGGGGTGGTCTTCGCGGGACGGGAGGTTGAGGGTTTCTGTTGCAATCGAGCCTAGGCTGAGGAGGAATAGGAACGATGGTGCGGCGATTGCCGTTGGGATCGGTCACTGTGTTTGCTGGACTAGTGGCGGGGGGGCGTGGTGGCGTCGGCGGGGGTACACGTCGGGGTGGCTGCGGGGACGAACGGCGGGGAGGGGCTGGTGGCGGAACAGGCAGTGGTACAGGAGCAACTGGGGCTGTGCGTTGTGGTACCGGTGGTGGTTGCGGCTGTGGCGGCGGTACTTGTATCTGTGGTGGAGGTTGCAACTGTAAAAAAAATAGTTTGATCATAATCTATAGAATAATAAGGAACTTTAACTTTAATAATAAGGGAAGAAACTTTTAGCTGTCATAGCAAGACAGCCTTTAGTAATATCTGTTTAAGATTTTAAAGTTAAAATTGTATGTTTACCTTTAGCACCGGCCTAGGTGGAGCTATTCTTGATGGAGGGCAATAAGGCAGCGCGTCTGAGGGGCAATAGACGAAGCCCGAGGGTCGTGGTGGCTGCGGCGCGCATGCTGCTGTAGAGTGCCTCCTGGGAGTACCAGTGCTTGGTCGAAGCAGTTCCATCAGCTTTTCACCGGGAGTTGCTGCAAGGCTTCCAGCCCGCCCACACCTATACAAATCATCAAATCAATTATAATGTCTCACAGTGTTTAGCATGTGTAGTTCATAAAGTTTAGTCTAGAATACTGAAGGTCGTTAGTAGCGCAGAAAATGGAGAAGTAGAGGTAATATACTTATATCCTAAAATGGGATATAAATTTCAAACGCTGCCAAAAACTACACACACTTTAAAATATAGCTGAAATTTCATAGAGCATTGCTGTTAACATACAGATATGATACATAGTGCAGTTTTTGTTATCAAGTAAAGGACCAGAGAAAAAACTTTGAATGAGCACCCATCTGATAATCGACCTTTATAAATATTGCTTTATCTCCGCAATTATAGTTCGAACAACACTCCACTCTCAAGTATTGAACATCAATAGTGATATCTAAATCAATAATAGTATCTTGTTTCACGGGATATTAACACATTTTGTTTCCATTATCGTTTTTGTTCGGTTGTTACACGAGGGAACGTTGGTTTTGTGGTTTTGTTACTAACGGCAATCATATTGTTTGCGTTCTACTAATTGGTTTGTTATATCTTGATCTGATCGATCAGGGATTCCAAACGTTTCGTCGCTGGGATATATCATTGGTGTTAGAAAGGAACGCGAAGTATATACAAGTATATATAACATTAAGAGCGGTCAGTTTATGAAGTCTGAAATAATAAGATATAAATAAAGATGTAAATAAAGATCTTGCAATGGTAATTACGTATCGTGGCATAAGTGAAATGACATAAGTCTCTGAGACACGTATGAGTCAATCACTCTTGTTTAGTATTTTATACAAAAAAAATTAATTAATAAGATTTCTACACTAAATTACGTGAATTCAGACACATGAGTGACCCGAATTTTTACAGAATCGCTCTGCTGTACTTGGGAACCGCGTCAGCGATTTAATAAAAATACTTTTTGAAAAATCAAACTTACATATTTCTACTTATATACTCGTCTAGGTCTTAGCGATTAACGTTTCTAAGAAACATGATGTTTAAAATGAAAAAAATAATGAATTTATTTTATTAGGTGTACAAAATGACATCAATTTTTTTTTTCAATACGATTCGACTTATGTGCGTAAAAAAGTTTCTATTATTACCTGGTTCATTTAAGCCAGCATGTTTCATAGTACCATTATCAATTAAAGAACAGATCTGCGTATGGCTTACGGTTTCAAACTTTAGCATATTTACCGTTTTTAATGTTACAGCCTGTATAAACTGAATTTATCTAAAAATAAACTAAAATCATTATTTGGCGGACCATACTCACTATTTAGGCTTCTGAGTAAATTAATACTAAAGCGAAATTGGTATTTTATTTAGATACTTTACCTAAATAACTAATCTAAAATTAACCCCACTCAGTTGCGAATTAGTCGGATTTAATATTAATAAACAGAAAAGTAACGCAGTGGGTGGCGTTATACTGGCGTGGTGGGTGTTTGTATACCTTTGTGAATAAAAATAACATTTATAGTGTTAAGTGGATTCATCACCATTTAATTGTAGACATTTTACTTAGTTTAATACTATATATATGTTGAGACATACTAAACTGATTTGAAATTTAACGATGACAGATACGCAGACGTACATTATATTACATTGAGTTCTGTGAAAGTAATGAATCGTCAAAGATTACGCAGTGTAACGGATTTCTCCTTTATTTTGGTTTGAGAAGAAAAAAAATTAAGAAATATAAACTGTGTACAATTTATTTATAAATGAAGTTTTTTTTTTGAGATAACAATTTTATACAAATTACCAATTACCAATAACAAATTACCAATTACAAATTACCAGTTACAAATTACCAATTACAAATTACAAATTACCAATTACCCCCTTAAAGTAAAAAAGACATAAGGGTATATTTTGACCTTGGCTTCGCTGGTTCATATAAATTACAAATTAACAATTGCCCCCTTAAAGTAAAAAAAATAAAAGGGTTTATCTTGACCTTGGCTTCGCTGCCGTACTCAGAAGGAGTACGGCAACACAACAAACCGGGGGCTGTCTGTTGTCCTACGGTCTCACTGTCCAGCGTTATAATTCGTAGACATAAAATAATATTTATAACACTTAATGCTACTAAACACAATAATAGTTGGGCACAGCTCAATGTTCAGCTTGTCTTTTGTTTAAATAAATTTCATCCACCTCAACAGCGAAACAATCAGGTCTTCCTTTTTATTCAGCTCAGTAATGTAGGTGGGTCAAACCACAGATACCCATCCACATGGAGCGATATAGCATTTACATACGGTTACTGGTGGTACCGTCAACCTGTATCGGACAACTCGCACCAGGCAGCCAGTACAATACAGCCAGTACCAGACAGTCAGGACAATACAGCCAGTACCAGACAACCAGTACAATACAGCCAGTACCAGACAGCCTCTCGGTTTGAGAGGCGAAAAATTGTAAAAAACACTTATGCGACCGGCGCCCACAAATTCGCAGCACTGCTCGGCCTTCCCTGCTTCGAAATCACCACGAATGGAAGCCCACGTATTCAACAAAACGAGCCGAGACACGGTAGACTTGTAGACTTCTCTTCACTCTTAGATGATCAGCAGAATAAAAGGAAAGACAAAGCCGGGTTCCGACTTAAATACGATTTCCATTTCCATTCGACTCAAGCGACCTGAACAGCTGTTAAATGAAGCAACTCCGTTTCACGGACAACACACAATGGCTACAAATTTTGACCTTTAAAAATTTAATAGGAAAAATACATAAATAAAATATTTATGTTTTATTGAATTGAAAATAAAATTATAGGACACATGCAAATATGCATGAAAAAACTGACAAAACCCTGCATACAAAGGAATATAACTAGGTGACAACTTCACACTATTGCTTTATTTTCTTAATTCAACGTTCTAAAACCTGAAGTCTGATTTAATAATTTTGTTATAAAAAAGTGAGTTTTCGAAATAGCTATTTATTTTAATTTTAACGAATTGATCATATTCTATAAAGAAGGTCAAATACTACTTAATTGTTATTAAAAATAGGGAAAAGAAATTTAATTTGGAAGAAAATATAAATATGTAAAGGTAAGTTCTAAGGCTTTCGGAACGTACACCAAGTGTCAAAATAAATGCTTTGGTGTTTTGTAAACAATAGGTTCAATTTTATTTTGTAAAATTAATAAGGTTATCTCTAATGGAAGCAAATGAGAAAATAGTTAAAGTTATAATTTTGAGACAAACTAATGGTTCTATTTTGTATCTTGGTGGTTGATAGACTGGTAAATAAGAGTGGAAGGTTGTCACCGGTTAAGGAATAATGAAATTAGATTAGTGAAAACAATTTTTATGCCCTAATGGCTTTACCAGAAAAATATGGTAAGTTGACATCCTAAAAACAATGTTTAGAAATCACAATATACTTGAACATTACTAGACAAGAGTAATAAAATGTTGTGAAAGTTAAAATAAAACAACATGAAATTTTCCAGTGTTACAGCAGGACAGTCAATCACCGGCGCAGTTGCATACCGTCGACACACTGCGAGTATACATAGAATCTCATTTCGTTACCAGAAATTGTAAATTAAATTTATCATGAAATTAATTGGAGATTGGATAATTGTTTATAATTTCATATAATGATAACTGATTGGAGATATTGTTTTAAGCTGTTATGGTTATTAACATTAGAATTGTTGTGATTTAGGGTGTTACTACCGTATGGGGGTGAGTGTCCCGGCGGTCACGGCTTCCCGGGTTTCATCTTCCACGAGAGGGTACACCGTAGGTGTTTTGGTGGGTAGGCCTCGGGGAACTCACTGGGTAGCTCACCTGCCGAATGGGTTCGCGGAGGAAAGTCTCACACACCCCCCGGTAACAGGGAAAGTGCCAAAAGCATAGAGAAAGTGCCAAAAGCATTTCCTCGACGATAAAAAAGGGTGTTCCTACGTGTACCTTCTATTTTTCTGATCCCCGTGGTCGTGGTCCGATCGTGGCGATTGCAACAGCGCCGAAATATCGAAGACTCTTTAAATATACGACATAAAATAGCAATCCCGAAATAACAATCCTTCTAATGCACAAACATGAATCACTGACAAACTCTATTAAAATATGATAATTAATTGAATAGCGATAAGTTTTAAGAGACGAGCGTTTTGTGTCTGCACTTATTCTCGTTATATGATTATGCTCCTACTGGACGACCTCCGTGAGAGAAATGCTCACGCGCGTCTCAATCGGCAATAGTTTCAGAAAATAAATCAGTTATGTCCGAGGACGGACAGACAGACACAAGAGTGATGGAGTCACTCGTAGTTCCGTTCATTCCTCTTGATCTACGGAATATTAAAAATAATCTTCCCGTCAAACTTTAACACTCACATTATATTTATTTAATGATTAATTATCCCAGGCAGCGATGCCGTAACCATTCACTGTCTCGCTTGTCACCGCCCGTCGCCAAGAACAATTACTTATGTGTAATAATGAGCAAAACAGACATACGTTACTCCAATATTAATTACATATAGAACTTTTATCTTTCCGCTTTAGTTTGTTATACATTTATTATAAGAAAAACATTAATTTATTTTCCCATCACAATTGATCTAAAAAGACATACCTTAATCTCAAACTTATAACGTTTAACATTGCTGTTCTATAAAATAAAATTTACTTCAAGTGGTAATAAAAGTTTTATTTGATTGAACCTTTTTGTGCGACAGAGCTGTGTTTGCCGCCTATAGAATAGCTGAACATCAACATTACATATATAAGAAATAACGCTTTATATTTACTATAAAACTGTTTAATATAAAATTAACAAATACAATGATATTGTAAATAATTCGTGACAGCCTAAGCCACGGCTCGTAGACAACTGTAGCGTCCTTAGTGTCGTCTACGTGCCACCGTTACGAGTGCTACGGGGCCGCACAGGGAATATCGTAGCAATAAAATACTTTTACGAGCGACCGGGAAGCGATGGAAATAAAACTAAACTTTCTT